GGGGTCACCAGGGACACCCACAGGGACTCCAGAGACACCCATGGGACACCAGGGACACCTCCAGGGACACCCGTGGGGTCTCCAGGGCCACCCATGGTCACCCCTGGGAACTCGTGGTGAACCACACAGTGTCTCCAGGGCCACCCCGGGGTCCACCAGGGCCATGCCCTGTCCCCAGGACCACACCCTGTCCCCATGGCCACGCCCTGTCCCCATGGCCATGCCCTGTCCCCAGGACCACGCCCTGTCCCCATGGCCACGCCCTGTCCCTCGTGTTCCCTGGCCAAGGGGGGGGTGTGGGGTGGGCTGTGGGTGCCCCCCCGGCCCCCCCCGGTGACGGTGTCCCCTGGGTGTCCCCGCAGACCCCGGGGCGGTGGTGGCGGCGCAGGGGGCGGGGCCGTTCGCGGTGGTGGGCGGGGCCCTGGCCCTGCTCGTGTTCCTGCTGCTGCTGCTGCTCGGGGCCCTCGTCTGGTGCTCCGTGAGACAGAAAGGTGGGCGTGGCCGTGAGGGCGTGGTCGGGGTGGGTGTGGTCAGGGTGGGGCCTCTGGAAGGGAGGCGGCACCTCGGGGTGGGCTTGGCCTGGGTGGGTGTGGTCAGGGTGGGTGTGGCTGTGGGGTATGTGTGAGGTGGGCATGGGCAGGTGTGGGTGTGGCCTCTGTGTGGGTGTGGTCTGAGTGTGGGTGGGCGTGGCCTTTGTGGGGTGGGTGTGGCCTCTGGGTGGGGTAGTTTGGGGTGTTTCTTGGGAGAGGTGGGGCGGGGAAGGTGTGGGCGTGGTCAACATATGTGGGCGTGTCCAGAGGTGTGGTGGGCGTGGCCTGGAGCCACAGTCGGGGCCCTTGTGGGGGGGGTTTTGTGGGGGAGGTTTTTTGGGGTGGGCGTGTCCCGCACGGGGGTGGGCGTGTCCTGACGGGGGTGGGCGTGTCCTGACGGGGGTGGGCGTGTCCCCAGGGTCGTACCTGACGCACGAGGCGAGCGGGCTGGAGGAGCACGGGGAGGCCCGGGAGGCTTTCCTGGGGGGGGAGCCCGGGAAGCGCAAGGAGGAATTCTTCATCTGAGGGGGGGAGCATGGGGGG